GAACAGCAGGATCAGAAATATGGATAGAACGGTGTTTTTTCTCTCATCAGTAGTATGCTTGAGATACAGTGGCTGTTATGTTCATGATGACTATTCTCCCCATCTTTCAAACAAGTGGGCTGATTGGTCTTTTTTTCTTAAAGACTTATTTATTTATGCATGCAGAACTGGGGTACAGGCCAGAGGTGCAGGGGCAGTGAGAGGATTCACCAGAGACGGAGTGGGAGCAGAACAGGCAGATGGATGAAGTACACTGCTGAGGGGAGCAGTTGGCGGCTGGTCCATGAGGTTCACCTCCGGGGCCAGGGATCGAACGCACGCTGTGGTGGCTGCAGCTAGCTTGTGTGCTGCGTCCTGACCAGTTGCACCAACAGGGAGGGCCTGGCTGGTCTTCTCTGTGGACCATCCTATGTCAGGTGATGAGATGGGAACTAGGTCTGTCAGCGCCCAGGTGTCTGCGCTTGGGATCCTTGTAAATGGGAGCTTTGTTTCTACAGGCCAGTATCCCCAGGAGATGACATCCTTGAGAAGTGACAAGTCACTCTACAGGTTACAGACATGCTTTTGGTGGCTAGAACTCTAACAAGCTGGGTGTTTTCCCAAATTCTGAAAATTGATGGTAATTTTTTGCTTTTTATTTGGAACTCTTAAATCTGCTTTCTAATCCTAGTAAAGCTGTTCTGGAATTTTGAATTTTCTCTAAGTGTCTTCACAAAAGTGTGTGTGTGTGTGTTCATTTGAATCATTTCTTAGCCACCAGTGTTCAGGTTTGATGTTGTTAGGTATGTGGCTGATGAGGCTTTTCTGTGTGGGTAAGTCCTTTGATTTGGAGAAAACCCTATTTAAGTTGAGCTGGGACTTGGTTTAATTTTGAGAGAGACAGTTTTTAATGGTAATACTCCTTGATTCTGAATCTTTGAAAAGAGATACTCTGTAATAATTAAAAATTGATAGTTTTAAAATTTCTAATTAGATGTTTGTATAGACCCATGGAAAATGCATTTCTGCTTCTATTGAAATGAATTCTAAAGAATTTCTGGGCAACTTTTACTAGAATTTAAGTGAAAAGGATATTGTTTAACATAAGTCAGTCAACTAGAAATTGTAAATTTGTCATGCATCAGTTTTCATTTATATTAATATTTGTTGTAATAGACTTATTTTACATTGGAAAATTTAGGCTTTGGGGAACTAAATGCTGGCGGAAATGGTTTTTGTTACAAAATTATAGCAAAATTTCTGAGACCGCTTTTTATTTTTCAGCCTAAAATTGTTGGTGTTTCTCCACAGCTAAAACACATTTTTCCATGGAGAATAATTTGTCTCGATATTCTGTGGCATATAAAAGATCACTGCGGAGTATTTTGCAGAAACATATTAATGTAAAGTTATGGAACCTCTGGGATGGAGGGCTCACAAGATGTAAATTTCAGAGCCATTGCTAGTATTTTTTCCCCCTATAAACAGACATTTAAATTTCAGTTGTATAAAGTCTTTATAAGGTACTTGCACATTTAAAAAGATTTCACTTAAATGTTACCTTTGATTATGTGGATTAGATTATATAGCCATATATACTGTCTACTCCACCCTGCAATGAGACATTGCACTTCTTACAGTGAAAATTGGCATAAATTCTGTCAAGCACAGGCCCATTTATCACTCCACTGTGCTGATTGTTCTTTCATAATGAAACACGATATGCATATTTATCGCATTGGATATTTTGACCTAATCTTTAAACTTTTGTTCAGCCAGTTGATGTCATGTTATCTCTGCCATGCCTACAAGTTGAATGATTGATTTATCTGGATGCAAAAACTTTGCAGTCTGTGTTCCAGTGAAAAGAGACCATGAGAGTGTGAGTTCTGAATGCTTGGCTTTGATACAGTCTCTGCTTGTTTTTTTTCCATGAACTTGAGCAAAAGTTGGTTAAGAACATCTACCTCGTCACATGGTTAGGAGGATCAACAGAGACAGAGTAAGGTGAAGGACTTTGTAAAGCACAAAGTGAATACATATTTTAATTACTTATAGTTACATGCCTCTCATTGCTTTTAGTCTTCTCAATAACCAATTGGCATACAGGGGGCCTTTCTTAATTGGTTTTGACTGATGTACTACATGCTTGGTGACTTAGAAACAATAGAAATGTATTTTTCACAGTTCTGGAGGCTGGGAAGTCCAGATCAGGGTGCTAGGAGATTTGGGGTCTGGTGTCCTGATGCCTGAAAGGTGCCTTTTGTAACTTCACTTTGTGGAAGGAGTGAGGAAACTTGCTAGCACTTCTTTTATAAGGGTGCTAATCCTATCCATGCGGATTCCTTCTTCATCACCTCATCTAGTTCTGATTATCTCTCAAAGGTTCCACCTCCTGTAACCATCCCATTGGGTGTTAGGGTTCAATATGCACTGGGGAGAGTAGAACACAACTATTCAGGCCTTAGTAGGGTCAGGAGTGCTACTTATGCTAATGATAGAACAGAACAATAACCCAGTTTTAGCATCAAATAGTTTTAGCTTTTTCCATATCATTAGCTTCCAGGTAATATAGATGTATAAAGTAGGGAAGATGACATTTTATTTGAGGAAAAAAAATCTAGAGGTAAAAAGAATAAAACGGGATAATGTTCTTGTTATTAGGATTTTGGTATATGACTCTTAAAACTGCGCCTTCCAACCTTCCCTGAGTACCTACTGTTTGGTTTTCCTTGGTCTTATGATCATTGATGGGCAGTGGGACCTACTGACTGAGATTCAAGTTAGTGATTAAAACAGCAGATATTAGCTATGGGCCCCTTGCTACTGGTAGTCCTGTCAAAGCTTGTTGAAAGTTTCAACCTGGAATTTGTGGGAATGGATCATAACTGCTGAGACTCTCATCATTTCATATGTACTTACAACAAAACAAGAATTAATCTTTATTAATTGCTTACTGTGTGCTAGGTAATGCCATGTTTTATTGACATATATATCTTTTTTTAATCCAGATAGCACCCCCACAAGCAAACTGTTGTCAGCACCGTTGTTATACTGGTGAGGAAAGAGGAGGAGAGAAGTCGAAAGACTTACCCAAGGTCAAACAACTAGTCATGGCCGATCAGGGAGCCAGATATCTTCCTCATGCTTTAACCTTGCTTTTCCCACAATACTAGTTTATCATATAGCTCTTTTCCTTTAGATTTGAGCTAGAAGTGGTTGCATCATGCTTCTGAAGCATCAGAACAATGTCCCAATCATTTGGTCTTGACCTTTTCACAAGGACTGAATGTTGGCTTTATCCCATATGGTGCTCATGGCCCACTAGCTCTTCATGGCCTGTCAAAGACAAGGTCACAGTGTCAGTGGATGTGAACCAGGGCAAGTATTTTGCCCTCATTGTTGCTGCTGATTCTGCAGATTCTGTGCTGCCCTGGGAGTGAGTGTGAAGGACTACTCTAGCTTGCGAATGTAACGTACTGAAACCTTTGGAGATATGTTTGTGGGCACATGAGCCAAGAAGTCACATTTTTAGTGGGTTTTGGACTTTAGACAATTGAGATTTGATATTTCTATTTTCAAAAATTGTCCCTAACACTCTCCTCCCTTGTTCACAGTACTGTCACCCTGCTTGTGTCCTGGTCACTTTTAATATTAAAGAAATTGCAGCAGCTTCTGAGTCCCCCCCCCTCAAGATTTATTTATTTATGCACTCAAAAACTGGGATACAGGCCAGGGATGCATGGGGGTGGGGAGTGAGAGGATTCATCAGAGACAGAGTGGAGAGCAGAACAGGAAGACCTACCGAAATACGCTGCTGAGAGAAGCAGCAGGTGAGACAGAAGAGGTCTGCTGCTTCATGCGGGTCACCCCCCTGGCTGGGCATCGGAGTTGTGCTGCAATCAGTGGCTGCAGATAGCTTTGCTTTAACTTTTTGCATCACCAAGGAGGCCCTTCAACATTAGTTTTTTTTTTTTTTTTTAAAGATTTATTTATTTGTGCATACAGAACTGGGGTACAGGCCAGAGGCTCAGGGTCGGTGAGAGGCTTCACCAGAGACAGAGTGGGGAACAGAACAGGCAGATTGACGAAGTACACTGCTGAGGGGAGCAGTGGGCGGGTCAGGAGAGGTCTGCCACGCCATGTGGTCACCTCCCGGGCAGGCGGGAATTGAACTCATGCGGAAGCAGCTTTAGATTCTCAGTGCTGTGCTTTAACCCGCTGCGCCACCAGGGAGGGCCCAACATTAGTTTGTATTGCAACTTTTGTTTAAACTTTTATATCATTGCTAGATTCATTTTTATGCAGATTTCCTGTTTATTAAATATATATACCTACTTTCTGGGCTGTTCACTTTCTACCTATTTGATCTTTTTAAAGGCTCCTTTTATTTTCCTAGCTGGAAACTTTCTGATTCTTCTGTCATTTACTCATTCCTCTTGGAACCCTCTAGATTGTGTTCTTTATAATATCTTCTTTGGTGTTCACTGATTTCTAGATAGGTTGTAAGTTCTCAGGATCTCATATTCTTTTTTTTTTTTTTTAAAGTTATTTATTTGTGCATACAGAACTTGGGTACAGGCCAGAGGTGCAGGGGCAGTGAGAGGATTCACCAGAGACAGAGTCAGAGTGGGGAACAGAACAGGCAAATCGTTGAAGTACACTGCTGAGGGGAGCAGCAGGCGGGTCAGGAGAGGTCTGCCTCGCCATGTGGGTCACCTCCGGGGCAGCTGAGGCAGGCGGAGATCAAACTCATGCGGAAGTGGCTTTAGCTTCTTAGTGCTGTGCTTTAACCTGCTGGGCCACCAGGGAGGGCCCAGGATCTCATATTCTTGCATCTCCTTGCTGCCCAGCAAAACTACCCATTATTAACCATTTTGTTGTCATAATTTTGTTTCGTAGGCATTTTGTTTCAAATTAAGAAGAAAGTATTGCAATAACAAGAAAAGTGCTGTGATTTTAAATTTGTTGGATCATCTGTTGCTGTGTTGAAGTGCACTATTTCTCCTTTGTCTTGGCAGCAATCAAAGAGAAATATACAGACTGGACTGAATTTCTCATACGGGATTTGACTGGTTCCCGGACAGCTCCTGCCAACCTCCTGGAAGGTGTATGTATTGTTGTTATACAGCTATTCTATGTCTGAAGCTTCACAGTTACATGAGCTCAAACCTAGTGGCATCATTGCATATATCCTTCTGCAGGTATACGTGTGCATACAAATATCTTTGGCCAAATAAACTAACTTCCTATTTTTTCCTGACTTACTTAGGTTGCTGATTTTAATGACATTGAAGAATTGCACCTATGGTACAGTCAGTACATGGAAAATTTGGTTCTGTGTGACCACATTTGAAAATATATCTAATTGTTGAAATAATTTTCCCACTGCACTATTTGTTTAAGTTACCCTAATTAATGATGGCACTGAAATCCTTAGCTGAAAACTAAGCACTATGTGCCCTAGTATAGCTTCTTGGGGTAAATTGGGAAGCAAATCTGTTAAATAGTCCATATTGCCTCATAATGCACAATTTGAACAAGCATGATAGAAGATAATTAGCTTCTCTTCTAAAGATGAGGAGGAATGGCTGACCATATTTAAAGATGGTTAAGGTCATTGCAAGTACAAAGGAAAACAACCTGTACTGTGAATTCTAGATATTTCATTTGAAAATATTTTATGCTAGAAGATTTGAATATTGACATATATAATAAAACAGGAAGAGAAGTATACTGTGCCATCAGTATTTACTGAGTCACTAAATCTGTTTGCAGAATACCTCCGAAAAGGAGAAGACAGAACGAATAATGAGGAGTATGGTGTAGATTTTCACAATAGCATTATTCCATTCATCTAATTAAAACTTTCCCTTCTGTCTTAAGTGATATTGGTGCTATGGAATACCACAGTCTAATTCATAGCTATTGTTTTGGTTTTGTGAAATTCCGCCTGGTGTATTTATTTATCTTAATGGCTGCTAGTTGAACTGTTTGGTTAACAAACTTTTCACCCTTTCCAAAGGACAAATTATCTTGTTCTGTTGATTTTTGAGAAATGTGCTTGCCTAGTTGGCAAGCTGAACAAACACCCTTTTCATATGCTGACGTGCTAAGAAGTTTCCTTAGGTGGGGCAGTGATTTTACATATCTTCTAAACCAACTGTTGGGTTACATCTAGAAATTACCTCACACAGGCAAATTGAATTGATCATTCATGTATATCAGAGATGTCATCTACATATAGTCATGCTTTCTGACATAATCATAGCAAGATAAATGTCTGCCGAATCAATCTCCACTTACTGCCTGACGCTAGACGTCTGTCTGCTGCAAAGCAGCCATTTTGCCACCACATATTTTCTAGCTTGAGGCAAATTTGGGTATAATTCTCCTTGAAAGCATGCTAATTTTTAACAAATGCAGTTTTATCTGGGAAGGGTGATTTGTTTGGTGATAACTGCACAAACTGTTATTTTCTGTTTACTTGTGATTTTTGTGTTTGGATCCAGGGTTGGATAAGATGGGGAATGTGTGTGGGGGGAGCGGGAGGGGGAGGGGCATGATTGTGGAGAGGATGGGGGTGGAGGGAAACACCAGATTGTTTGCCAATAGCTTGGATGATGGTGTGAAAAAATATTATCTTCTGCTGTCATCTGTTTCCATGAGAACCTTAAAAGAAAGTTTAAAATAAGGAGTTTTGCTTCTGTTTAAACAGCCTCTGCGAGGGAAAGGCCCTATAGACCTCATTACAGTTGATTCCTTAATAGAACTTCAGGATTCTCAGAACCCTTTTCAGTACTGGATAGTTAGTGTGATTGGAAATGTTGGAGGAAGATTACGCCTTCGCTATGTGGGATTGGAGGACACTGAATCCTATGACCAGTGGTTGTTTTACTTGGATTACAGACTTCGACCAGTTGGTTGGTGTCAAGAGAATAAATACAGAATGGACCCACCTTCAGGTAAGGGCTGAACTTTCGTTGCTGTGAAGTGTTTTAGAAGGTGACTTGCTATTTACCTGGACATGTCTCAGGAAATTTTTTTAGCTCTGTGGTATCTTTACATGTGAGTATGTAAATGTTATGTACTTGGACCTCATAATATTTTCTTTGGTGAACAAAAGACCTTAATTAGTAGGGTTGTAGAAGGGGAAAAGTGTGAGCCTGTGGGCAGGCTGATTTACTTCCTTTGGAGTCACTCTAAGTGTATAGATTGGGACTTGGTTATATTCTTTTTCCTTAGGGATTTTGATAGTCTTACAAGTAGGTTCCAAAGTCTCCAATTATTCATCCATGCATCCGTCCATCCGTCCATCCTTCTATCCACCCACTCATCCATCCATCCATCCTGCATCTATCTGAATATCTAAACCCGAATGATGTGCCCTTCATACCTCCCTCCTTACTTCCATCTATCTGAATATGCAAACCAAATGCTTATCGTTATATTATCTGTCTGACCTAGATAGAAGTAGCAGATGCTTTTTTTCCTTGGCATATCATAGGTCTTAATAAGCTTCCAATGCTCTGTCAAATGACTTTCCATGGACTTAATTGTGTAGAATAGTGCATTATGCTTCCTCACATACCTAACTGGGCAAAAACTCAGTGTTTACAAAATAACTGTTGTTGAATGTTTACTCTGCACCAGGTGATTTTACATCTGCTATGTTGTTTATTTTGATTCCAAAAATGCTGCATGTTTGGTGTGAATATTTCTGTTTATAGCAGAGAAAATTGAGACTGGGACTAAGCAATTTGTCCAGAGTTTTCCAACTTGTAGAGGGGATGTGCTGCAATTCAAACCCAAGGTCCTGGCCCATTCTGCCCCACTCCCCCTTACTGGCCTTATGAACCTTTTGATAGGTGGTCTCAGAACAAGATATTGGATTCTGATGGAGTTAAAGATGCCAAGGAGGAAATATTCAGTCCTTCCAGAAATTGCTGATCTTCCTTCTGGTCATTTTCACAGATATATTGGGAGCAAAGAATTGGTTCTTTACTTTATTAAAATTGCCAGAGATTTCTCCTCCCAGGGTTAGTCTTGGGTACATGAAACTGAGGAGTTATATTTCCCTTTCCTGTCACTCAAGGGCTTTAATCGAAAACAATTCCTCATTCTATGTCTCATGTGCTTGCATTTGTGTTAAATTTGACAGGCATCTAGACATGTAACATGGCATTTTATTAATATTATTGCTGTCAACATTTTGAGAAGCAGCCAAGAAATCCATTTATACCCGGAGTAATTTTGGACTATGATGACAAACAAAGGACCTGTCAGTGTGGAGAGAGATCTAAGCTCATGTTTGCCTTGGGATTCATCACCTAGCAGGAGAAATTGACTTTGCAAAGAAAGTTGGGTGTATAAATCTCAGCTTAGTATATAATTGCTTTATAAATTTTAGGACAAACATATTTGCCAGTATAACAGTTTATAGTAAAGTAAAGGAGTACTAAAGCCTTGTAGGTTTTCTGTAGGGCGCTTTTTCTGTGAAACATTGCTGAAAAACAAGAATGGGGAATATCACTGTAGATACTTTGACGATATTTTGCACGACAGCACTCTCTTCATTCAGATAATTTCACATTTTATACATGAGAACAGTGTGTGTCTCCTTGTCTTAATTCTTTTCTTTCAGTTGTAGTGGAAGAGGATAAAAAGTGAAAGTGACTCTAAATATGTGACTTTCATATTTTTCAAATGTAGTGACATGATGAAAACTGGCTTCTCCTAGCTCCTTGAGTGCTATAATACCTGGGAAGCAGTTATTCCCCAGAGTCTTCATGTCAGAACCTAGTATTTTGGGTTTGTGTAAATTAATTGCAAGACCCAGTGTGACTTCTAAAACTCTATAGTTGCACTGTTTCTTTAACTGAAATATAGGTGGGAAAGAGCTATTTTCTTATTCCCAGTTACCATTAAATAAATGAAATGAATATTTCCTCCTTGGCATCTTTAACTCCATCAGAATCCAATATTTTGTTCTGAGCATTAAACTGGTGGTGAGATGTAGACTGGCAAGGGTGGTGGAGGAGGGAGATAAATGATGCTTTGGGTCACCTTTGAGGCTAAGCCAGATGAGTTCACGCCCTCAGTGCCCTCTGCACTGTACAGAATGATGAGGCTGGTGCTGTCCTCTTGCCCCCTGTTAGGGGAGCCTTTAGGGACAGAATCAGACTCAGGAGAGGGACTCTTTGGTGATTTCATCTTTTATTGAGCCCATCAATGGCTCCAAGATATAGGGTGTATAGGAATATGGGCTGTGGGGTTCATAATACTGTTTTCTTTAATAAAAGGAGTCCACGTGACATTAAGCTTGAGGAGAAGCCTGGCAAAGAAGAAAGAATATGAACTTGGACAGGTCCAAGTTAGTTGCTCCTTTTGTGGCTCGCTAGCGAGAGTTCTTGCACTGGTTACTTTGAACTTCAGGTTTCTCACCTGTAAAATGGGGACAATTAAATACTTGGTGTGTTAAGTACCTCAATCAACTGGCATTTTCTAGTTTTTCAATCTGAGATCGTAGATTTTTTTTTTTAAAGATTTATTTATTTATTCATACAGAACTGGGGTACAGGCCAGAGATGTGGAGGGTGAGAGGATTCACCAGGAACAGAGTGGGGAGCAGAACAGGCAGATCGATGAAGTACACTGCTGAGGGGAGCAGCGGGCGGGTCAGGAGAGGTCTGCCATGCCATGTGGATCTCCTCAGGGGCAGGCAGGATCGAACTCATGCAGAAGTGGCTTAAGCTTCTCAGTGCTGTGCTTTAACCCACTGCGCCACCAGGGAGGGCCTATCTTAGGTTTTTATTGAAGTTAAAGCAGGTGGTCATTGGTAAGGAATTATTTAGAGGCCCTACCTGATTTCAATATTCTGGATGTTTCAAAAGCGAGGTAGAGTTTCATATGTCCTTTTTGAGATTTTTTTCATCTCTACCTAGAATTTCCTTTCCCTCAAAGAAAAGCAATCTTTATGCCAAACTTTTCTTATTTTTTAAATTTTTCTTCCTTGTTTAAGCTAGCCACTGGAGTCAGGAGGTTTCCGAATCTAGCTGAAATGCTTCCTGCTTGAACTCCTAGTCCTCAAAGAGTTGTTGCTTTCTGTATTTATTCACTAGGGCTGCCATGGCAAGTCCCGCAGTGGGTGCTTCAACAATAGCAATGCACTTCCACATAGCTCTGGAGCTTGGAAATCCGTGATCAGGGTGTGGGCCTGGTTGGGCTCCCAGAGGCTCTCCTAACTGGCAGCTGACCGCCTTCTCGGCTGGACTCACATGGCCTCTTACGTGTGCGTGCACGTGGGGGAGACGGACCCAGAGAGTGAGAGGAACAGAATACACGTTTTAGTGTCTCTTCTGATAAGTACCCGAGTCCCGTTATGAGATTCCCCATTATCTTGATCGCATCTAACCCCTGTTACCTCCTAAAGGACCCCTTCCACCTACTGTCACACTGGAGGGGCCTCAGCATCTAAATTTTGGCAGTGAAGGTCACAAACTTTCAGTTCATGGCACTTTTTTGCCTGCTTTCTCTTCATCATAGATGAGTCTTTTCCTCACTTGCGACTACCTGTTGAAGAAGGAAGGATGGAGGTTTTGGGGTGCATAAGAGAATGGGCTCACTCCTGGGGCCTTCATTCTGAGACTGTGAGATGCTGATTTTCTGCACTCCTACTTTCTGAAGTACTTTATAGCAAAACAGCCTGCAAACATTTGTACAAAGGAAAAATGTCTGATTTTTCACTTAGACTGCTAGTTAAAGATGAATCAGGACATATTTTAATTGCTTATTACTTTGCCACAAACAGAAATTGACATGATACATGCTATTAAATTACCTGCAACACGATCATTTTAAGAATATACTTTATGTTCTTTTAATGGTGCTATTTATTGCCCATAAAGTTGCCAGTGTAACTGAGGGCTTCTCCATCTAATGAAACATACGCATGGAAGGAATAAGGAATATCGTTCGTTGCTTATTGAAATCATTAGGTGTCTATCTTTAGCTGCAGTAGATTTTTACCTTTTAAGCAAAGAGGTATGCCTTGCCGTGGGCTTAAATTCCACATTAGGAATTAATATCCTCAGAAGTCAGAGAATTTTAGAATTGTAGCACTGGGGCAAAAATCACATGGAATCTGGGTGTCTTAGTCCATTGAGACTGCTGTAACAGAATTCCATGGTTGTGTAGATTAGAGACAACAGTTCAATGGCTAAAACCCAAGATAAGACCCTGGTAGCGGCTGTGTCTTCAGAGCCTCTTTTCCTGATGTACAGATAGCCTTTGATGCTGACCTCACACGTGGGAGAGGGCAGGGAGCACTCTAAGGTCCCTAGGGCATGAATTCCATTGCTAGGGTGCTTATCATCATGATCCATTTTACCTCCCAAAGACCTGCCTCCTAATGCCATCAGATCAGTAGTTAAGATTTTAGTTCATGAATTTGGGGTGGGGGGAGGTGGTGGGAAAATCTGTCCTTTGCATTTGTTGCCTTTGGCCCTGGTTTGGTGGGATGCTAGAGGGCTCAGCTTCCTGGGACAACTTGGTGGGCATCCCAGTGGGGTCTGTCTGTGCCTTGTACAGCTCTGTTAGGTTTTCATTGCTCTGATAGCCAGTGATTATTTGATGCCTCTTCTTTCACCCTCTTCTCTGTCTCAGGGATTTCTCTGTTTCTCAGAAAGCTCAATTACAGACCCTAGGACCTTAGGGCACCACCATAGGGATCTTCCTGCCACTTTTTCTCATTCCTTACATCCTTTCTTTAGCCTTGGCTTTGAAAAATCACCGTCCTTTTTCATGAGTTCATTCTCCTTTTACTGTTATGCCCACACTGATTGCTCTGTCCACCTGTTCTCCAGATCCCAAAGTGAATTTGTTCTTGTCTACTGAAGAAGTAAGGCTCTTGTTTCTCTTCTGCTCTCTTCTGACGTGTACTTGGTGCCCCCTGGAATTTCCTTCCTAGAGTTCTCTGAATTGCTTCCCTCTTCACTGAGATCGAACCATTCTTGCATTCCACAGGTCCTTCTCACCCTTAGGAGGCAGCTTATAGGGCTCCACATACTTATCCCTCTTACTCTTTTATGGGGCCCACTGATAGGCCATTTCTTCCTCAACTCCGTGCCTCCCATGTGGAGGCTGAAGGAAACAATCATTCATTCTCCCCAGAGGGCTTTATTGGGATCTCACTGGGTCTCAACCTTCTATATACTTTTTTCATGTACAGAAATTTCAAGTTAGGAAAAACGTTCCCCAGGTGAAGAGTATAAGTGAAATGTTTATACAAAGGGTCACAGACAACAACTAAGTGGCTCTGTGTAGCTGATAATTGTGGGTGGTACATGTTACTGTGACCCCTCCTGGCAGCACCTTTGGCCTACCATAATTAGGGTGGTTTGAAAAGACTAAATTGCCAAACATGTGGGCTTCAAGCACGAAGTGAGTTCAGAAACTGAGGATCAAAATATATGGCTCCATGCTGAAAAGTGGACTTGCAAGAAATAGAAAATGTAGCCCCGAAGGCTCAATGTTGCCTTTTAACTATGCTTAAGTCTATACACAGATCTTAACTGTCTGTCTGAAGTAGCCTGGCTTGATATAGGGAAGGTATAAACATAGCTACTTGAAGTGAGTACTACTGCAAATCCTAGTTTGATAAGGTCCTAAATCTGTTGATATCATATCATAAAATTTCTCTGTAGTTTCAGCAATTGGTAAAAAAAATGTGCTCAACAATTTTTTTCCCTTAATTTTGCAGTCAGGTAGTGTAACCACCATTCGTAAATCCGTCTCCCCTGACACAGCCTGGGGAAAAATATGGGTAACATGTGGTGTGTTAGCAACGTTTCAAGTGTAAATATTAAACTTGGTTGGTAAATTTTAGTTTTAATTTACCTTTTAATAATATTCTGACTTACATAGACTATTTTTAGCATATGAGATGAGAGCTCAGAGATTTGGTGAAAAATATGCTGTAATAACTGAAAATGCCAGGCCAGAGTCATTTCTACCCTAGAAATTTATCAGATAATAAGTTCTTCATCAGTGGATATTACTTCCCAGGTGATATATGGAATTTGGGACAGTGGGTGACTGAAGATGTGGCTAATGTGATTTATACCATTAAATTACTTACAGGCTGCCAACAGAATGCATGCAAATGTTCCCTGAAGAAGAGCCCTATTAAGTTTATTCTTCATTTCTGGTAGCAGAGTCCCAAGATGCTATTTAACTTCAGAAAATCCCTTTAGCAGGTGGTCTTTTATGGCGGGCAGGGTATGAATTCTTATGGTTGCTGAGTGTGCTTGGTTATTATGAAATCCTGAGAAGATAAAATTCAAGAAAAAACTACCCGGCAGAACATTTTGGTCCTTAAACTTTTATGTGGTTTACTGTTGATACAGAAATCTATCCTTTGAAGATGGCCTCTGAATGGAAATGTGCTCTGGAAAAATCCCTTATTGATGCTGCAAAGTTTCCTCTTCCAATGGAAGTATTTAAGGTAAGATATCTGTTCACAGCAATTTCTCTACTCTTTTCAAGAATAAACTGTGTGAACAGTTTTCTAGATGAATTATTCTTCAATATGCAAAGTTACCTTCTTGACCAGTTGCCTTGTTTAAATATACCATTTTGCTCAGTTCTGTAATCTTCACAAATACCCATATTAAAGGTAATGATGAAAAATCAAGTTTTTTGAAATCACATTGGTTTGCAGTTATACATGGGTTTCAAGCATGCACTATTATATTTAATGTCTGTATAAGCTACAATGTGATAACCACAGAGGCCTGGTTTGCATTCACCAATGTGTAGTTGACCCCCATTACCTGTTTTCCCACTTCACCATCCTTTCTCTGTTACCACCTTAAGGCTAGTTTCCATGAAATTCCTAAGCTTTATTGTTTTTCCCCATAGTGTATTATTATAGATGATCGTATATATCATTTTTACTGTCACCCCTTTCCAAAGAAAGAATAAAACATAACAAGTCCTTTTGGGCATTTCTTTGATAAAGAGGCTGCTTCTCTTGAAGATTCCATTTTCTTGATGTCTCTAGAAATGTACTGAATGTCTCTTAGGTATTAGATCTTTCTCTGGGTGCTAATATAAAGATGAAAGGAACAGAAGAAATGGATTGCCACATTCTTAAAATTTTTTAAATTATGCTCAGAAATTCTCCAAAGGAGAATAAGAAGTTCTATGCAGAAATGATCCATTCAGGTCAGAAGAAATCATAAACCAAACCAGCTGTTCTTATTATTTGGAATTTGAGTAAGTGTGGATGTGGCTTCACATCCTTGGTTTCCTTGGATGGTTCTAAATGTGATGACAGTACAATGACATAATCTTGCTTTGAGTTCTGAGAGTTCGAATTCTTGAGGTACCCTAGAAGTTTCACATAAAAGATGAAATGAAGAACTTTCTAGGCATCATATGCAGTAGAGTTTTAGGCAAGGATTAGGGCGTTGTCTTCCTATGTTATTTATATTGGACTCTTCATTCAGAATTTTAACCAATTGTGAACCTTCCTTTCAGCACTTTCCTTGTTAGTAAAATTGGACTTAAAAAGCTGGACTGTGGAACAAGTGATATAATGATGTTTGAAGTTTCATGGAATGGGGTCTTTTATAGTACTTTATGAGTGTACTGTACTAGAGTAACTTTATAATATACTCAGCATTAGTGGTAGTTGGCAAGGAAACATTATCTTGATCATTTTTAATTTAATTTATATTTTGCTATTGGACCAAGTATTTTTCATTCCTTTCTAACCCCTTTCACCCTCTGCCCCTCACTTCTTCCTTCTTTCCCTAATAATACCCTCCCTCTGAAATCTCCCGCTGGAAGGATAATAACCATACTGACAAAGAAAAGCGTCAGTGACTTTCGTACGGTACTGACTACATGCCCCTTCTGAAAACAGACCATCTCATTACTTGATGCCATCAAGTCCACTCCCTTTCACAGTGGCCTTAGTAATGTTTTAAATGTATCCATCTAATCATGCCTCTAGCCCTTGAAAAATAACTTGTATTTTGAGGTTTGTACATATGAGGAGTTTAGGGGTAATATAATGAAAATACAAATACCTGTCCACCAGTGCACACAGAAGCAGCTGCCCATTGGAAGGCTTCTTTGTCCTTCCCTAATCTCCCCACCTTCAGGGTAGAACCTTACTTACTCCTTCGCCTCTCTTTGTTGTGTGACAACAAATCCTAAATGTTTTAGGATTTACTTTTTACAAAACCAGAAGCAAACACTATCCTGATTGTTTTAGAAGATAATTTTGCGATTATTCAGAAAGGAAGTTAACTGGACCATGTCAGGACAATAGGCTGGCTTCACTAAAAAGCCAGTGTTTAGTGTTTAGAGAATTGAGTAGGCAAAGTCATTATCTAATCTTGAGAGAATTGGGGTTCATTCTCATTGGCCATCTGCCAAGGTTGTAGCATGAACAATACTGGACATCTCTTAGTTAAGTGGACAGGAATCAGTTGGTTTGTGTTTTCTGCTTTTATGGCTTGTTCTAGTTCTTAGGAATGGACCCACAAATATTTTTGGGTACCATGAATGTGCTCACCTGCTCCTGGCAGCTGGGCTTGGCTCAGGAACTGAGAATTTCTTCAGTAGACATTCACTTTGAGCAGATGTTAACTGTCTTATGCTGGCTTCCTCTGGCATTCTGCACTCTGGGTTGCAAGCTGATAAAACATGAGCTGTTATCTTAGTGATGGCTGCCTGCAGCCTTTCTCCCCTCCCATGATGGAATGTGTCCTTCCTTATTTTATCATTGTGCCTCACTGATAGCTTGTTTAGGTATAGAATTCTAGGAAGGTTCCCCCAAGAATTGGGAAGTATTGCCCCCATGGTTTTCTTTCTCTCTGGGATCTTACATTCACTTTCTCTGTATTGCTGTGAAATTTCACAATGGTGCCTCAGTGGGTGTTATTTTTCATCACTGCGCTCAGTACTTCCCGCTGTGTTCACAATGCATGTGGACACCTTTAATGTGGGTGATTGATAGTCCTTTTTTTTTTTTTTTTTTTTTTTTTTTACTTTAAACACTTTTATTGGACTAAGACTGATTGGCAACAATAAATATGCTTTAGGTATATAGGTTTACATATCTACGTATATGTGTTATCTGAGTTATTTAAAATTTTCTTGTTTAAAGCAGTATCTTCTGTTGCTCTTTCCTTTCTTTCTTGATCTGTGAATATGTGGGCATGGAACTCATTCTGGTTTTAATGTGCTTTTCTTCTTAGTTCTATTTTTCAGTTCCTCTGTTTGCCCCACCATCAGGTTTCTCAGCTTTTTTGGTCATACTTAAGGGTACTTGTTTAGTATATTTTCCTTATTTGCTCTGTTTCTAGCCTCATGTTGTTGCAATCTGGGGGCTTGAGTTTATTTTGTTGGAATTACTGATTTCTAAATGTTTTTTTCTCTCTGAATAATTTGTTCCTTCCATGTCACTTTTGGTGTCTGTCTTTCTTGTTAGAGGTTTTCCTTGGATATCTGAACTCTCCTTGATTGCCTGCTCTTGAGTAAGAGGGGAATGAGAAAGCAGGCTGGCCAGTGTTAGAGACCTAGGGGGCCCTTCTGGGTGCTTTTTCTTCTTTAGTTGATTATTCTGGGGGACTTTTTAAAATTCCCCCTGGGGCTCCAGACCCCCCAGCTATGAATGCTCTAGTTACTGAATGCTGAAAAGAGACTGGAGTGTCCAGCCTGTGTGTCATCTGTGTCCAGGCCTATGGAGCACAGGCTATTTCTCTCGCTCTCTTTTTTGTGTTTTCAGAGAAGACTGGAGATGAATGAATGGATATTAAAGAGTGAGGAAAGGAAGCAACTATTCGCTGCTTCCCAAATAGTTGCCCTCACTTTTATCTGCTCGAGTTTCAGACACAATTTTTGCCAGCCATTTTCTGAGCTTCCTGAACATTCTATAACCTCTGTTGTGTTGGTTGGATCTTAGCTTTGCTGCTGAAAACTGGGGTTTGGTTCATTGAGTATGCTAAATTAGTTACTTGTTCATTTTCATTTTAGCCTCCAGGTCTTTGTTCTGTTGGGTTTGTGTTTTGAGGAAAATCTGTTTATTAGAATTTTGGTTAGCGTGTAGGAAGAGATAAGATTAATGGGGGTTTTAAATCTGCCTTCTTATTCTGGCAATCCCATTTAAAAAAAACTCTTGTAGCTTGTACTGTAGGGTAAATTTTCTAAAAATACACTGACTATTCTCTGTTCTTCACATGTCCATTGCACCTGTTCTGCTCTTTCTGGTCAAATTTCTGCTCATTCTTTAGTCTCAAATATAAAATCTCTAAAAGAAGCCCCTGTGGGCATTTTGCCTTTTCCGGGATAAACTTGGGCTCCGTTTGTGTGTTCTCTTCTGCTTTATTGTCTGTGTCACACTTATACTTAATATCTTGTGCAATTTTTTGTGTAATAACCATCTTCTTCTTCTTGTTCTTCTTCTTCTTCTTTTTTTGCTTAACTTCAGAGCTCCATTAAGACAAGAATCATGTCTTTCCTATTCTTTGTTGAATTTGTTTAACCAAAGATAACTCCTTGGCTGTTAAGTATTCAAAAAATATTTGCTAAATAAATGAACAAATTTTTGAGTGGACGTATGTTTAGCTAATTGAAATGAAATATTTTGTTAGTTTGGATTTGAAAATGTGAACTTACTATTTAGAATTGTGTGCTAAGTTTCAAAAAATATAAACACCAATAATTCTAATATTTTAATGAAAATAATTCACCTGATTCCAGAGTTTAATAACTTGTCTACATATTCAAAAATACAGTTAATTTCCTCCCTCCCTTTAATAATTATTTGAAATCAGAGTATTATTTTTGGGTGATACCTGAGAATTAAGTTTAGCACTAATAACTGCCTTACAGTAAGCATTGATTATTTCCTATATTTCACAGGGTCTTCCAGCATAAATAATAATGAATAAAAACTCGCTGAATTGAAAGTTGTGTGTTCTTTAGACTTCAGAGGCACTTTAATAAATGCTGTCTCATCTTTTAGTTTGATGGAAAAGAATCGGACACTTGTACTTACCTAACTTTCTGTACAGGGACTGTCTATACATTTAATTTTAAAATATTGAGAACAACCATTGTATTAGTTCCCTAAAGTTATTGTGATAAATTACCACAATCTGAATGACTTAAAACAATGGTGATTCAATCTATCATAATTCTGGAGACTAGAATTTAAAATCCAGGTGCCAGCAAAGTTATATTCTCTAATAAGGCTCTGAGGTGGGAAGTCTCCTCAGTGTCCCTTAGCTTCTGGGGGTTGCCAGCTCTTCACAGTGTTTCGTAGTTCATGTCACTGCCTCCATCTTCATGTGGTCTTTCCCCCTCTGTGTGTCTGTCTAAATTTCCCTCTACTTATGGAGACATCAGTCATTTGACTTAGGCATATGCTAAAGCAGTGTGACCTTAGCATTAACTGATTGCATCTGTAAGAACCCCAAATAAATAACA